ACAGCTCTCAGATCTGGTTCTGAAATACGGTTTATTCCATACACAGCGGCACAAACGAGATTAATTATCCACAGACGCATGTTCGGTCTTCGTAGAATGCTTTGCACGTAAATTCAGGTCAAAATTTCCTTGACTTTCTGACCTGCGTTAGCAGAGGGAGGAGCATTTTAAAATGAAGACATTTTTTGCAGCACTTGATAATAATTATTAGCCCATAGGACGCCAATAATGCGCTCCAGGGGTTTGTAAATAAAACTGTCATCAATATTTCTATTATTGTCATACCCAACGCAGAGCGGTCAGTTGTTATAAAAAAAATAAATAACATGAAAAGCACACCTTGTGTTAGCCCAAAAGATCATTAACAAGTTCTTTACGAGCGAAGAAACACCTAATGATGGCCTTAGCAACAAACCTTCATCGTCATTATTATTGTAATTACTCCTTCCCCAGGCAGAGCGGACAGTTATCATAAATAAATTAATAACTGTTACGGCCTGCGAGATCATTATTTCGCTCTTTGTGAGCGAGGAAACACCTAATTGAGGTCTTATAAACTTACTTTTGTCATCATTGTTATTCTAATTATCGCATCTCAAGCAGAGCGGACAGTTGTTATGAAGAATATAAATAACATAGAAAAGGCATACCCTGTGTTAACCTCAGAGATCATTATTTAGCTATTTATATGCGACGAAACACCTAATGGAGGTCTTATGAACAAACCTTTCTCAACATTATCTTTATAATTACCGACAGTTATGAATAAATCAACAGTTTTTTCCATTTGTTAACCTGGGAGATCATTATTTAGCTCTTAATGTGCGAAGAAACACATAATAGATGCCTTGTAGACAAGCTTTTATCGTTATTATTACTTTCCTTATTATCATTATTATCATTAGAAGGACAGAGCTGACAGTTGTTATAAAAAATCAACAACATTAGAGACAAACCTTTCTCTCTTACCAAGTAAATCCATGGTTAAGAATAGAGGTTAAATCTTACAGTCAATCCCTTTACCTTTAGCACTGAAATTGGGCTCTGTCCTGGTGTACCGGTTCACAAGGGAATTACCATTGTTCTTTCTTTGTTTAGGAGTCATTGGTTAGCTGTTGTGTATTGTTCGGTCTTTTGTAACGGCTCTTGTGAACCGGTACACGAGGACAGAACCTGAAATTGTGAATGATTGAAAATATTTACTTTTAAAAGCAAAGTTTCAAGTTAGCAGATGGGATCGCACACATTGTACATAGAGTTTGAGATGTACAGTCTATAGAATCGAATGCTACAGAATTTTCCCCAATACATAATTTAAAGCTACCTGCTAAGTTATTTAAAGTTACAACTGTTTCTTTTCTATTTCTACTATACCAAAAATTAACTTTTTCAGATGCCATAAATATATGCATGGTAAAAACGCGTGTTTTCTTAACTTCTGATCAAGGAATTCCGCAAATGATACACTGCTGCAGTTTTCGTCAAGCTAATTAAAACAATAGTAGGCGGAAGTTTGAAACAATTTTATTAGAAACAGGCAAAAAACCAGCTTGTGTCGTCAAATTAGGATCAGACCGTCAGTTTTGTGCACGTAAACACGGTCAGTCGCACGAATTGTTTGGATACCACACTACCCCCTACAGCCTTGTTTTCACTCGTGAACAATAGCCTCATTATAAGCAAACTTTAATCATTTCTCGGAAGACAAACAAGAAAATTTATAACATAACTCGTAAATTCGTGCATTAAAATTCAATAGCGCGACCGTGCTTCAATTTTCCATTGTGCACGCTGGTAACGTCAGTAAACAAATGCCTCGCGAAAAAAACTTTTTTCTTGCGAGTGACTTCGGTATTTTTCATTAAAAAACGGGAAAATCTTCCACAAAAAAGTTAAACTTGACAGGGCAACAAGCGAACAAGCCGATGAAAATCTGCCTACTTTTTCTTTTGGAATGGATTTTTTAACTCCCGAGAAAGAACCCAGAGAAAGGGAAAACAAAACAATCAACGGTTTCATCTCGTTTCGGAACTCTAACTTCATTTCCACGCATGAATGCACATGTCAGTTTTTGACCAATCTGAGACAAGATCATTAAAGTATGACGAAATTCTTTTCCGAAACATAATAAACAACGCATTGAAGCATAGGAGTGGGAATTTATGCCCTTTATACATAAACTACAGCGTTGAAAATGTTATAAAACAATTGGTTCATACATCAGCTGTGAGTTTATCGAGATATGAAGCACTTGGGAAGTTTGGAGAGCACTCAAGAAGCTAAAGTTGCTCGAGGCTCGAGCAACTCTTACGCATCTTTCGTGCTCTCCAAACTTCCCGCGTGCCTCACATCTCGATGAGCGCACGATGACGTATGATCCAATTGTTAATTAGCTGCATGAAATCAGCACCAAAGCGAGCTGAATCAGCACAAATTACCAAATTAAGGCAATAACGCGGTGGGCAAAGTAGTGAGGAATTAATCATACAAACTGCACGATGTAGCTTGCTTGTAGTTTTCATTTGATATTTAATTTTGTCAAAACAGGTGCTCCAGATGACTTGCACTACTCGAATCCTTTTCGTTGCGCAAAGATTTTTGGAACGCCAGGGGAAGCGGGAGAGAACACTGCAAGTTGCTAAAGGGAAAGATATTGCGATAGTTTGGTGTACATTCCAAAAAAGCGATTTTAGAGAGAAATCAAAGGCTCTTCGCCGATAATTTATCAGAAATAGATTTAGGCAACGTTTGTGCGAGGGAAGTGTAAGTTTTTCGAACAATCGTATACTAATAAACATTTCTACCTCACGAAGTTAGTCATAAATCGCTGGGAAACAACTCAATTGAGACTTTTCAGTGATATTTACATGTGTCCAGCCTATTTTCTTACTTTTTAACTTCCTTAATAAACTGTTTGTGGTATCAGGAGAAAATACCTCTTTAAAGATGAGAGGTTACTGTCAGCGGAAATGGAAATTGTTTTTACCGAGCTGTTGCCCTTTGAAGGGATGAGATAGGGAGACAAACATGAGAAATTTCGGGTTCTTCTTTGAGTGTTCTGAGCTGCCACTCTTCTCTTCGAATTCCGTAGAGGATCTTGTCAAGGGTTGAAAGAGCTTGAATACAGGAGCTTGGGAAAGAACCGTAATGTCTGTGGAAACATTTAGTTGTGCTTCGCTCCTCAAACGACCCATCGTGGCAGAACAAATGGTTCAATTTTGTTCAGATTATCAACACTTGTTCATTCTGATCGAGCAGATAATAAAACTGCTTTTTACTCTCGTCCGCGCGTTCTCGTCTCCTGTAATCCAAAAAATTTACGATGCACAGAATGTCTCATTGCACTACTTTATCATTCTGAGATGTACTACGATAATTATGCTCAAACAAACCATTCCAATCACTTGTTGTTTATAGGTGTAGCTCAGCGGTTGTAGCGCTGCATCGTATTGCCGAGCTAAGACAAAAGCTAGAAGTAAATACACACGATACTACAACCAAAGAGGCATTAAAGAGTTATTACCTAGCGATTTGTAACTAATTTTGTAAAATTTCAACACCATTTGGCGATGTCGATTTCATAATAGCCCCAAAGAGGGAAAAGTTTATCAGCAGATCTCATGAAATACACCTTGGTTAATCGAACAATCTCTGACTGTATCACTCTGAGCAAAGTTTTTTTGAGAAAAAGTTCTCAAGATAGACTACATGTCAGTTGGTTATGAATATTCACGAGCTTTATGGAAAGAGAGTACTTTCTTTTCCAACAAATTGAAACCTGGACAACATCCATTGCAGACATTGCATACTTGTCATGCCAGGCATAAAGAAACGTCTGCGCGCCATAGAAATAGATCCTGCTAAAGACCAAATGAAAATAAAGTAAGTTTTAAAGAAGGTTGTTTTAATAGATTCATCTTTAAATATAATTTGGCTATAATGATGATCTCTCTTTAACGCTTGTATTTCTGTGTAGTATGAACATCGTGATGTGCATTTTTATCGTACAGATTTTGACAAGTACATGTTGTTTCCTCTTTAAAAACTTTCTTCGCTCATCTGCGGATCAAACAACTCGTAACCTAATACAAGTATTATCATCACCACCATAATTATCAATTAGCTGAAGGCTTCTACATGCAGCTTCGACAAATGAAATTAAGCTGGTCGAAGTTAGATCTCAGTGTTTATGATATTGTCCTCGGAATGGTAGCCATGTAATTCCTAGTGCGTATCCTCCACCTTGATATAAACCATTTGGATTTGCGTTATGGCCGTGATTGTACCACCAAGCACCGTCTGTTGACCATTGCACACTTTCCATCGCTATGGACGTCGTTTTCTCTGTCCTTGGTTGTAAAACTCATATTTCTAAAAAATTAAAGTAACAATTTCGCAAGAGAACGAGGAAGATCTGGGCGGCGATGCTGATGGTAGCATTTCACGGTCAGAAATATACATCCTTGATCAGGAGGGTTAAAGATAAATGATATTGTAAGCTGAACTAAAAAAGAAACATTGTATGTTTAGTAGTGCAGCAGAGAACAATAGTAATCTCATGACGTTAGAAGGTGCAATTATGGCCAGCAACAAACTTGAAGTTGGATCATCTGATCAACAATGATACCTGTATATCGGAATGGAATATTTTGACATTTGATTCGTCATTTGCACAAAAAAGTGATCGACCTAGCTAATCGACTACGGGGGTCTTCAACTTTGGACAGTTGTCTGTACATTTCGTTCTTCTTCGGGGGCTTTTCATAAGTTAGCTTTATAAGATTCATTCTACATAGCCGCCAAAAACTGAAATGCCTCTAACATACCTGATAGGCCTGGAGATCCGCAGATAGGCCTCCGCAGATCTTCGGTCGCCATCATAATCCTCCATATCAACTCGAAACAACATTTTGGCCGGGGAAGATAGTCATTGCCAAGCCAAAACTCGCCCTTCAGAATTCCAAAGCCCATTTTGTATGATTCCCAGTCAACATAAAACTCTACAGAGCCATCCATGCGCCTTTGAAGGATGATCCATCCTCCGCCATCAGTTGTCATGTCACACAGCACTTGGAAGGGTTCTTCTTCATCAGGGCTAATCCAGTACACACCGTCAGTTGTGGAACCATTTTGATAATAGTCGAAACAGTTCTTGCGGCAGTCTTAAGAATAAAAATCCAAAAGTATAATCCTTTGAGAATATCTAGTAATCGTTTGTTACAAGCCACTCGTTAATTTCCGCACGATCTCTAATAGGCTAACGGTGAGTTGACACTGTCCTTTCTCGCAATCTTACTGTCTATTAAGTTTCAAGTTGCCATTTTGACCTTGTGCCAGTTTGCCAGTTTCATCCTTATCCCGGTATTTGAAAGCGTCTCATTTTTTATCGATCACCGTTTACCTTGTTCCAAAATATCCGCTTCTCCAAGTTACAAAAGTGAGTGCTTGATTTGTAGACGACCGCGCATGTTTCGCTCTCTGTGCACAATACATTTTGCTCGCAGGTGCTCTAAATTTAAAGAAAGCTCTGAAATTAGAGGGTGGGATCGTATGTGCTGTACATTTAAAGCCACGTGCGAAGTTTTTAGAGTTAAAATTGTTTCGTTTATATTTCTACTATGCCGAAAATTAACTTTTACAGATCACAGTTATATGTGTATGGTCAATAGGTCCTTAAAAATACCATGCATTATCATCCAACTGTGCCTCGTAGATTACAAATAATGCGCGAGACGAGTACAAATATCACGCGATATTTGTACTACATAAATATCCGCGTAATTCGCCCTCACTGAAATAACAATTTGGCGTGTTGGATAATAATTCTCTTATTAGACGTTTTGTTGTGTGGTATCGCTGAGTATTTTTACTCGTTCTTTGTATTTTGACTTGCCCTACGGTCTCGTCAAAATATGGCACACCTTGTAAAAATACTCAGCGATACTACACGACAAAACTTCTAATAAGACAAATTTATTTGCCACGATAAACGCGTGTTTTTTTAACTTCTGATCAGGAGATTCCAAAACATGGACGACTGC